AAAAAAAAAAAAAAAAAAAAAAAAGAAAATGTATAATTCTATGAAAGATACTTACATATTGAAACATTATCAGTAGTGAGTTTTTTACTTTTTCTGTATTTTTCAGAAGTCAACAGTAACTGTTACTTTAAAAAAAAAAATATCATATAAACACAAAAGATACCTTGTTCCTTTTTTCATAGGAAATCTAAGAAAAATGCATAACTTACGCTGCTAAGATCTGGAACGATACCCTTCACGTTTTCTATTTCTTTCTCAATTCCCCAAGTACCAGAGGAAAATGGTAACAGACCACCTGTGTGCCTTCCACTACCTCCAGTACCTACAGAATTACCTGAAAAAATAAAGAAAAATGTTAACGGAGCCACATCAAATCTGAGTAATCTGACATAATAACTGTTTCTTGCTAGTCAAATTATTTTATGTAAACCTAATACTTAGCACTCCTATGATAAATTTAGCCATTTTCATACAGAGAAAATAAGCAACAGTAGGAGGCAATAATAAACATGATAAACTGCTACCATACAGAAAGAATTCATATTTAATTATCGATGTCTGGATAGAATATAATTATTTGTAATATTCAATCCAAGAAATATATACTACAGTATTTCTAGTAACACTAATTTACTTAGCTATTATTAAAAGCTCTTTTGAAAAGTTTCAGACTGTCTAAAGACCTGAGGGAGTAGAAGAGTTAATATATGCTAAATCATACCAGAATTTTTTTTTTTTTTTTTTCCAGATGGCTGAATAGGAACAGCTCCAGTCTACAGCTCCCAGCGTGAGCAATGCAGAAGACGGGTGATTTCTGCATTTCCAACTGAGGTACCAGGTTCATCTCACTGGGGCTTGTCAGACAGTGGGTGCAGGACAGTGGGTACAGCCCACCGAGTGTGAGCTGAAGCAGGGCGAGGCATCGCCTCACCCCGGAAGCTCAAGGGGTCAGGGAATTCCCTTTCTGAGACAAGGTAAGCTGTGACAGATGGCACCTAGAAAATCAGGTCACTCCCACCCTAATACTGCGCTTTTCCAAGGGTCTTAGCAAATGGCACACCAGGAGATTATATCTCACGCCTGGCTCAGAGGGTCCCACGCCCACCGAGCCTTGCTCATTGCTAGCACAGCAGTCTGAGATCGAACTGCAAGGCGGCACTGAGGCTCAGGGAGGGGCGGCCCGCCATTGCTGAGGCTTGAGTAGGTAAACAAAGTGGCTGGGAAGCTCAAACTGGGTAGAGCCCACTGCAGCTCAAGGAGACCTGCCTGTCTCTGTAGACTCTACCTCTGGGAAGAGGACACAGCCGAACAAAAGGTAGCAGAAACCTCTGCGGACTTAAATGTTCCTGTCTGACAGCTTTGAAGAGAGTAGTGGTTCTCCCAGCACGGAGTTTGAGAACTGAGAACAGACAGACTGCCTCAAGTGGGTCCCTGACCCCCAAGCAGCCTAACTGGGAGGCATCCCCTGAGTAGGGGCAGACTGACACCTCACAGGGACGGGTCTCCCTCTGAGACGAAGCTTCCAGAGAAGGTTCCAGCAACATTTGCTGTTCAGCAATATTCACGGTTCTGCAGCCTCCGCTGCGGATACCCGGCAAACAGGGTCTGGAGTGGACCTCCAGAAAACTCCAACAGACCTGCAGCTGAGGGTCCTGACTGTCAGAAGGAAAACTAACAAACAGAAAGGACATCCACACCAAAACCCCATCTGTACGTCACCATCATCAAAGACCAGAGGTAGATAAAACCACAAAGATGGGGAAAAAACAGAGCAGAAAAGCTGTAAATTCTAAAAATCAGAGCGCCTTTCCCCCCTCTAAAGGAACGCAGCTCCTTGCCAGCAATGGAACAATGCTAGATGGAGAATGACTTTGACGAGTTGAGACAAGAAGGCTTCAGACGATCAAAATTCTCCAAGCTAAAGCAGGAAGTTCAAACCCATCGCAAAGAAGCGAAAAACCTTGAAAAAAGATTAGATGAATGGCTAACTAGAATAACAAGTGTAGAGAAGTCCTTAAATGACCTTACGGAGCTGAAAACCATGGCACGAGAACTACGTGATGCATGCACAAGCTTCAGTAGCCGATTCGATCAACTGGAAGAAAGAGTATTGGTGAGTGAAGATCAAATGAATGAAATGAGCAAGAAGAGAAGTTTAGAGAAAAAAGAGTAAAAAGAAACAAACAAAGTCTCCAAGAAATATGGGACTATGTGAAAAGACCAAATCTACGTCTGACTGGTGTACCTGAAAGTGATGGGAAGAATGGAACCAAGCTGGAAAACACTCTACAGGATATTATCCAGGAGAACTTCCCCAACCTAGCAAGGCAGGCCAACATTCAAATTCAGGAAATATAGAGAACGCCAAAAAGATACTCCTTGAGAAGAGCAACTCCAAGACACACAATTGTCAGATTCACCAAGGTTGGAATGAAGGAAAAAATGTTAAGGGCAGCCAGAGAGAAAGGTTGGGTTACCCACAAAGGGAGGCCCATCAGACTAACAGTGGATCTCCCAGTAGAAACTCTACAAGCCAGAAGAGAATGGGGGCCAATATTCAACATTCTTAAAGAAAAGAATTTTCA